TTTATTGGTCTATACTTGCCTTTGATGAATATTAAAATTAGCTTTGATTTTAAAATATAATTATTAAATAATAAATTAAAATTTTCCTATAATGAAATACATCATTGTGTTTCCATCTCACTAACATAAGAACTTAAAAATAATTTACTTATACAGTACAAAGTCCGTAATCCAGATGTCCATTATCCGGAATGATCTATAATCAGGACCTCAAAGCCACAAACTTACGCATGTGTGTAATGCATTACGCATGTGCTTTTAATGCGCACCTCTGCTACGCATGTGCATAAAGCGTTTACCCATGCGCACTTCCGATAGTAAAGAAGGTGACAAAAAAAGAAATGAACGAATGAAAATGAAACAAAAAAATTGAAAACGAAAAAATTTCTATTGACAAGTTAGTCGGTATTCTCGACACAGCAATTACAGGACTTGAACAGTAGAACTTTGTAACTGAGCAAGAAATTATGTCTGTTTATAGAATTAAAGAGAAAGTATAAGCACAAAAAATGAAGCAACTTAAACAACTTACATTGAAAGAAATGTTTAATAAAGTAAACAAATAAATATTAAGCTTTTTTTTTTTTTTTTAATTTTGATACCCTTTAGATCATAACTGCTCTTTATTTCATAAATTACGGTTTCATATTTTTAATTGTATAATTTCTGCATGCCATCTTACCAGATTTAAATTGATGATATATAATCCGGAAAAACCTCTAATCTGGAATCGCCGAAGTCCCAACGAGTCCGGATTACAGACTTTGTACTGTATTTGAATGTGATATCATTTGTATTTTGCAATAACAAGGTTAATATTTTATTTCTTAACAAATTTATTATCAATTTTCAATCATTTCTCTCATTTTCCTTGCCAAAACGGTAAAATAACAGATATTGTAAAAAACATGACGCGCGCGTGCTCATGTAAAATTGCCAAGCGCGCATACTGGAAGGTTAAAGGCATACAAAAATACATCAAACAGATTTTTTTTCTAAACGGTCAAAGGTTTCTAACACAATGGCCAACAATATCCAGTGTTATATTCCAGGGTGATATCCAGTGTTGAATACCAAAATCTGAACAGAAATCACAAAAAGAAATTTCTTTCATTTTGCCTGTGGTTCAAGGTTCACTTACCAGCACATGCTGAAAAGGGAAGGTCTACCAATTCATATTAATTGCAGCATAGCTTTATCTGCTGTTTCTAATTTTAAACAATTGCCTGAGTAATAAAATTTTTGGTACAAAGAATTTCTTTTAAATAACAATTAATAAATAAATAACAATTAAAAATATGAAACCGTAATTTATGAAATAAAGAGCAGTTATGATCTAAAGGGTATCAAAAAAAAAAAAAAAAAAAAAAAAAAGCTTAATATTTATTTGTTTACTTTATTAAACATTTCTTTCAATGTAAGTTGTTTATGTTGCTTCATTTTTTGTGCTTATACTTTCTCTTTAATTCTATAAACAGACATAATTTCTTGCTCAGTTACAAAGTTCTACTGTTCAAGTCCTGTAATTGCTGTGTCGAGAATACCGACTAACTTGTCAATAGAAATTTTTTCGTTTTCAATTTTTTTGTTTCATTTTCATTAGTTCATTTTGTTTTTTGTCACCTTCTTCACTATCAGAAGTGCGCATGGGTAAACGCTTTACGCACATGCGTAGCAGAGGCGCGCATTAAAAGCACATGCGTAATGCATTACACACATGCGTCAGTTTTTGACTGATTCCCATTTTTAACTTCCAGCTTTTAGAGATACCTCTTTTTAAAATAATTTATGACCAACTTTATGTAGTTTTAACTGTTAAATAACTTTATTTTATGCTTAATTTATGCTTTATTTGATTATCAGATTTTACTCGAATTTTTTTCATAAGCAATTCTGAATGGTGCAAATTTTGAATAATGTTAATGTATTTATATTTGGATTTTGCTCACAATACTTTATTATAAAGATAATTCACAGACTTAAACACTCTTAGAATATAAAATATTCTTAAAATAATGAAATATTTTAAATGCTCTTAGAATATAAAATATTTTTTAAATAATGAAATATTTAAAAATTGCAAATATTTTTAGTAATTTTAACGTACACATATTTTAACTGAACCTGGTTGTGATATTTGACTATAGTCGGATAATCTACATTTTATCGCACTGTAAAACTTTCCTTGATGAAATTTTGTGTAATCAAAATCTCTCTAAAATTAAATGAAGGGAAGCATATTAGCATGTATAAAAAGCAAATACAGTCATATACCGAAAATCCGCCCACTCCTGAAATCCGCGTAGCCTCTCAGAATATAAACATTCAGTTTAAAGGTTCTGGAAACCACAACATTAAGTACGAAATATCAAAGAAAAAAATACTTACCAAATAATGATGTCATAATTACCGAATAATAATGAGTCAAAACAGAAATACCAAATTATTCACATAAAAAATTTAAAAGCATAAGATAAGTTTTTTCCCCCTCTAATCTGCATTGAGGTAAAAAAGCAGACGATTCACTCAACTCTTTATTTAAGTTCACGATTCATGTTGTTGTATTTTCTGAGCTTTGTTATTTCATTTCACGAAATTGTTTAGTGCTGCCTTTTTTTTTTTAATCTGGATATTTTGTGGATAAATTAAGAATATTTTAAATTTCAGCCATTTTTAATACAATGACAGATAAGAAACGCACTTGTGATTTTACTGCTTGCAACGTTGAAAAATGTAAACACATTGCATTGACGGTAACACAAAAAGTGCAAATTCTGCAAAAGATGGAAGCAGGTGCTACTCCTCAATTTATAGCAGAATGGTATGGAATTGCGACACGATTGTGTATGATATACGGAAAAATAAAGAAAAGCTGTTGAAATTTTACAGCAACAGTGATTCTAACACCGGAAATCTTTGCATGAGGCAATATCAGCAAACCTCGATGCTGTGTGCATATAATATCGAAGAAAAAATATATATCAAGAAAAAATAATATAATCAATTTACATATGTAATAATAATTTAATGCATATAATAAATTATTGCAATAATGAATATAATAATTTAATGAAATGTATCTAATACGCTTTATTCATTTTGCACTTTTAGTCCAAATATTATGCTTTATCTTTTCTGTCCTGAAATCCGCAAAATCCTAAAATCCACACAACCTCTGGTCCCAAGCTTTGTGGATTTCTGGAATTCTACTATTTTCAATTTTTTTTTTTTTTTTTTTTTTATTTCTCATTACCAAAAAGTACATCTATATTCTGGAATTTAAACAAATAATCAGAGTACATTTGCTTGCAAAAATAATGAGCTGTGAAATTTCTGTCCTAGAAATGACCTCATATTGCAAATTTCTGCAGATTTCTTTTGCATTATTTTAAAATCACACATAACTGCTGGATGCTATGTGAATGACTATTTTATTATGTTTAAATTTATAGAAACTCCCAGCAGAACTTTACAATTCAACTGAATCAGAGCTTCAGTCCAGTCTTACTGAACTGTCTTTTGAAATTTGTCAAAATTGGAGACATATGTGAGAGAGAATTAGCAATACCTGGCAAAATATAACAACTGATGATAGAGTTTAAAATTATCCCATGCTCAATGGTGGGTCATGTTAACAAAAATTTGCGTTATACTAAAAGATTCTCTAAAAATAAGCATTACACACACAAAAAAAGGGAGGGAGGGCAAGATTTTATATTATTTTTCAGATTTTATATTATGTCCAAAGAGGCCTTTTTTTTTTTTTTTTTTTTTTTAACATTTTGTGTGTCACCTTTATTTATTAAATATCATGTTGTTTGTTCTTGAACCACATAGAATTCAATTCAACAGCAATATCATAAAATAATTTAAAAAGAGCATATCTTTAAAATTTCCAATACAAAGTCTCGTGCGCTGGAAATATATATATATATATATTTTTGTTCAGTATTGCCATTGCTTGCTTTGAAATCATGGAGTTTCTTAACCCCCTAAGCTGCAAGGCTGTGTATATATGGCCTAGAATATTTATTATGATATCTGTAAGAACATATATATACGTGTATATTAAAATATGTCAACGAAATTAAGGCAATATATCAAAAGAAAACAAAACCAGGTATGAAATACCAGGAGAATTTTTACATTAAAATAAAAAAAAAATGATTTGTTCTCATAGTAGTTTTGGGAAATTTGTGCTTTCTTAACAAAAATTCTGGCCCCCCAGAGGGTTAAGACGCCCATATTCGGGTGGAGACATATGTTATTCAAAATTTGATGGCTCTTGGTACTGTTGTTTTATCACAATGCAATAAACATACATACATTTATGTAGATTATTCATAATTAAATTTCTTTAAACTAAATACAGGGCAATAATATTTGGTGGCAACTATTTGAAAAGTGAAATGTTGTTTATAGTAAACTGCCACAAAACAACAAAACGAAATTAACAGCCCTTCTGGGCTAACACCCTTAGAGCTAAAAACAGAGAGAAAGAAGTGGGAAATAGCTATCTTTTATTAGGATGGTTGAATGCTGTTTATACGAATCTTGTACAACAAAATGTAACTTTTCTTGAGAGGGGTAGAAGTATAGTTCTTCCTTTATTTAATTCAAGCAAAAAATAAGTTTTAAATAAAAAATGTAAAGTGTATTTTGTTTTAAAGAAGTTAAAAAAATATTATTGTTCAAAAGATACATGTAAGAATCAGCTATGAGTTGTCCAGAAAAAAGCGCTATTGAACTTGTTCAGCAATAAATTTTATTTGCCTAAGTGGGATTTAATATTATATTTTATATCTTGATTCATTCATACCATAGATGATACTTTACAGTGTTTATTTACTATCTATTTAAATAAATCAAACTTAGTGCTTTGAGTTATGTAATAGTACATAGTCCTTTAAGTTGGAAAAGAAAACTTATTATGGAGGGGGGGGGAACTTATTATTACAAGTTTCTGACCATTTGAAAAACTTAATAAAATTTATACTCACCTCTGTAACATTTACACCAAGATCAAGAGCTTTTTTTATTAGCATGATTGCAGAATCATGAGATAAAGCATTTAAATTATATTTTGACCTGAAAAAAGAAGTTTTGACTTATTAATGCTACATTTGTGGCAATTTTTAATCTACAAAAATAAAATATAATATGGCAAAATAACACAACATCTATGCTCAAATAAAATGACATGCCTAACCAAATGCTGGCAGTATCTAAATTTTTGAATGACTCGAGTACAACCAGAAGTAAGCCAATCGTTATCATAACCACCTTATAGAAAAGGTCGCCAAATTTTTAGAATGTGCCAAACTCTGGTAACAATGTATAAAATCATTTTTTAGACAACCATACTAATAACAAACCTTCAGTAAATCAATGCTGCCATTTTCATAAGCATTCCTTTTGTTGTATTCAGAGTTCTTAAGAACTTTTATAAACAAATCGTGATATTTTTCGCAACAAATTTAATTTTAAAATATGTGCTTATGAGTTTACCAGCCATGGGGGAAACTACAGTAAAATTTCTGCAGGAATAGAGAATTTTTGCCGCAGTATTTTTAGAGGGAACAATTAGAAGATGAAATTGGTAGATAGCTGGTATTACCAATGTTTGTGTGATGTTGGGTGTCTACAATTTTCTGATAATTTTTTAAGCAGAAACAGCGATCTGTTTCTGCTTAAAAAAACGAAGAGAATGTTTGAGAGAGAAATAACCTAATAAAATTACAGAAAGATTTGATGCATGCACAGTTAATTCCTCCCCCCCTTCCGAACATAATAAAACATCTGGAGAGTCCCGATTCTTAATTTCACTTTGACACTAAATAAAATATCTTGTTATTGAAGAAACAATCATTTTAGCATAAATTTGTATGATCAGTAATTTGGCTCCTTTGCTGCGTATCTGCTTGGCACACATCTTAAACCGAAACATGGTCCTATGGCCGCACTGAGTTGCAGAATTTAGGACCCACAAAGACTGCATCAGGCGATAAGATATCTAGCGCTGGCCCTCAATAAAGCTTAAGTACATGCAGGCCTGTACTGGCAATAGGTGCAGGGTCGTGCGCTGAGTCAAAAAAGCACCGAGCAATCATTAAAACAAGCAGTCTGTTTTGCTGTCTGCCTGAACAGGAAACTTCTTGCCTTATTTGAAAGTGTTTTTATCTTGTCTTATTGATACTCAAGACATCAAAAAGGAACCTATAAACTTTTAACCCTTTTAAATAATTCCATAAAATCCTAAGAACTTTTATGTACTTAATATCTTTATGAATTCAAATTCCTATGAACTGTTCATAAACACTTATAAACTCATAAAAACTCTAAATTCATCTCTGCAGCTATTACAGAACTTTCAAATTAGAATTAATTAATTTTTATGTATATATATCAAAATTTTTCTCATAACTTTATTAAATATATATATTTATGTAAAATGATTTAATGTATATATCCAAATTTCATATATTGTATAGATTATAAAATTTAATTAAACATGGCCCCACTGAGTGAGCAATAAAGCTGAAAGTCTTCTTAGCGGCACAGCTGCTCACCCAGTGGTCTCCTGCCTACTATCTTATTTGAACGCCCTTTCATCGTGTAGTGATGTGCACTACTAGGAGGCATTGTAATGTGACAGTCTAACCAAATATCTATCTAGAAATCCTTAATTAAATTTACATGTGCCCAATATTTACTGGCCTGAATTCTTAGTGGTAGACATTGCAAATTAAACCCTAGTGACAAGAATAATTAAATATTTGACTTACCCAATAACCCACATGCATGAGATTTGCGGAGACAAATTTCTTTTTCTAATCTCACATTTATTTTATCAAACACATTTGCTGGATTAAATATGGAACATTTATCACACACATATAAAATATCAAAATATCATAACTTAGAACACAAAACGTGATAAATTAAAATGGAATGGTAGGCTAATGCAGAAACGTGACTATTCGGAGATAAATTACAATCCTGTCTCATCGAACATATATGCAGTCGCAATTTTCTCATATTAATTTCATGCAGTGCCCATAATATTTTTGTACAGGTGCAAGATCTTTTTTTTTTCACTTTCCCATTCTTTAACACACTTAAAATATAATCACGTGGTCACACATCGCTGGTAATGCACATTCTAGAGTCGAACACCTATAGATAATCTGCTTGAGATGTTTTAGAATGGTATCATGGCAGATGGATTTTAACACTGAGCATTTTCATCTCAAAAATCGCAACCTTTAGTTCCGCTTCTTTTTATGCAAAAATACGATGATACTCCATGTGAAAATAGCAGGAACGTTGAAACTCTATTAGCACGATATGCAGGGTCAGAGCCCCGCACATCGTGCGGTCTCACTGATTGCCAAGTGACAGCCGGAAGGTCACGGGCGAAGAAGGGAAGAAACCAGTCTGACCTGTGCTCATATACAAACGTGCAGTTCCACGATTACGATTAAAATTTGTGATGCTGGCAAACTGCATGGTGTGAGAAGTTACTATTCTCACACATGGGTCGACTCAGGTAAAACCTAGGAGGCTACTGATTAAGATCTGTACTTAGGCAGTCTCCGCCACGGGTGTTTAAAATCAGGCTCCACAGGACTGGAGTCATTGCTGGCGATGGCTGTTTCAGGCTTGGCAGGGACCATACGGTACTGTTTTGTCCGTTCCGTTGGAGATATATAGTCAGATATTGATGGTTGTCCAGGGCGAAACACCCCCGTTGGTGGAGTAGGTGAATTCAGCAAGCCTTTAAACTGCTTGGAGTTTCCAATGGGTGTCTGGAGTATAATCATATCTTCCTTGGTTTTTCCCTGGGAGCGCCTAAAGTCAACTTCTGTATATTATGATGTAGTGTTAGCAGTCCGGATTGGTGTCCCGGTCTGTCTGACAGCATTTAAGTGACTTCGTTCTGCTGTCTGGAGTTGGGGCCCCAGTTGATGGCAGATGTTTTTACCATTCCTCCAGGACAGGGTCTTTGGAATGTCAGTTGCTGGGTATTTCTGTCGACTCAGCTTAGTCTTATCTCGTCTGCTCAACCAATAGGTCAGCAGAATCTTGGATCAACTCTAGGGGTTGGGGCATTTGTGTTAAGGCAGCCTTGAGCTTGCCAGATATGAGTGTCTCTTCCTCCTAGTACACCGCCTCATTTGGCCGAAAGTTACAACCAGGGCAAGAGTTCGTCTCTGGTGTTCTCTTCTGTCTTATTTGAACAAAGAAATATGCGATGCCGATGCGTGCGTAAGTGTAGACGCATTCGACAAATTGCTTAATCCTTATTTTGTGTCTACCGTCACAATCGTAGTAATTCGTGCAACATTTATCTTTTTTGTGATTGCTTGCTGTTATTGTTATTCTACACATAAAAAAAAGGAAAGTGCAGTTACATATCAAAATAGGTTAACTTTTTTAATTGCAAAAGTAACGATTTGAGCATAATTACTTGAAAATTGTTTATCTCCCATGTTCGAACCATTGTCGTATTTTTGGCTAAGTAAATTACTAATATCTAAACCATTTTCCTCTAAAGTCTTTAATAAGAATGTTGTTAGTCCTTCACCGGTCGTATCTGTTGTAATACAAATTACTAAAAACCTTTCTTTAATATTAATGTCTGTATTTTCTAAATTAAGGTACTTCATACAAATTGATATCTGCTCTTGATGGCTGGCATCAGGGATACAATCAAGTAAAATAGAAAAATGCTTTGCCTGTTTGACCTTATTTAAAATAATTTGCTTTATATTATCCCCTGATAAGTTAATTGTTTCATTTTGAATTTTATCTTCAAGGTAATGAGGCATATTTTTTTTAGTTTGAATTTTATTAAAATATACAGACATGATAGGGTCAGATTTTGTGAACATTTCTATACACTTTAAAAATTGTTATTTCTTTTCCAATAATTCGTTACTGGAACCAAGGAAGGCTAAGTTTTGTTTGGCTAAAGCTCAAATGGCATAGATAATTCTTTCAATAACACTGCGCCAAAGCCTAGTATCTTTTTTTTTAATAAATCTTGAAATTCCGAATCAACAGATTTATTCTTTCTTAACCGTTCTAAGAAATCGGACCAAAGATGGAGATTCCGGAAATGTGCTCTGTTTGTTTCATGAATTTTTAAGTGCTCATTTAATTGGTTCCAGTCATTAAATTCAGAACTACTCAATTTTATGCTGCTGAAACTTTAAAAAATTTCACAACAAAAACAATAAACAGAATTTTTTCAGCAGAAATTAGTAACAATCCCCTTTAACTCTTCCGTTGTTTAGCAAGATTCGACAAAAGTACATCTAAAAAAATTTACGTCAGTTTTTGTTTTTTGGGAAACTTAAAGTGGAAACCAGGTTTTCATAATATCCAGGACCATTTTTTATTAAGGCTTGAACTTGGGATTTCAATAATGAATGAATCTACGGCTGCAGCCTCTACCCTTACGTACGTATTTGCATTGCGTATTTTCGTTCACATATATTTACAAGATCAGCTCAACTTATGTTCAAAACTGCAAAAGGCATTAATTGCTAACAAAAGAAAATCTGAAATGTTTCAGATTTTAAATTACGTTCAAAGGGCCATTTTTTAACATTTTGTGTGTTACTTTTATTTATTAAATATCCCGTTCTTCACACTTAAACCATAAAATTCAGTTCAACAGCAATATCACAAAATAGTTTCTCAAGATGACTGAAAGAGCTGAGCAAAGATACTGCATCAAATTTTGTCAAAAGCTTGGTGATTCTCAAAGAGAAACTATTTATAAGATTCAGCAGGTCTTTGGAGACGATGCTATGGGGATAATACAAATTAAGGAGTAATTCAACATATTCAAAAATGACTGCATATCTGTGGAGAGTGACCAGCATTTTAAGAGGCCACAAATCACTTGGAATGCAGCTGTTGGAGGAAAATTAAAGGGAGACTGTCGTTTGACTGCACAAGAAATTACTGAAGAAGTTGGTATCAGTAAAGATTTTGCATATGCAACTGTTGTAGAGACATTAAATATTTTTTGGAAGCAGGCAAGATGAAAAATTAGCAAATGCCTTCGCTGGGAATTG